GTTTCTTCTCCATGCAGAGAGCGCACATCTCTCTCTAACCTAATTCTTACTTCAAGCATCTTCTAGCTTAAGTAAAGGATCTTTCTTTTATTCTTGTAATTGCTAAAGCATTGTGTGTAACCAAAGATTGTTTAGATAGGTTTTTATTATCTTATCTTTCCGCAAACAATCTTGTAAAATCTGTATTAATCTTCTCTATTAATATATATTTTAAATTTGAAAATACTGTGTTTGTATTCATCCCCCCCTTCTACAAACTGTCTCTCTTCTTGTAGACCTTTACGGGACCAACAGTTGTCTTGGCCGAAGAAGCAATGGATCAAGCTTTCCTTAATGTTGAGTTATATTTAAGCATGGCTTAAAAACCCTCCCACCGCATCGTTATATACTAGAAAGATTTCCATGTTTATGTAGAGGTGAAAGTTTCAACCATTGGCAACTTTAACCCTCCACTTTTATCAAGTTTGATAATTTAATCCCCATTAAATTATAAATAAGATTTAATAATTCAAATAATTAAGCTTTCTAATATGATTACACTTCATGTGTGTGACTCACTGTGATGGTGGTAAAAATTATAAACATAATTAGATTTATAAGTAAAGAGTGACATCTAACAATATATTATCTTCACCAAAATGATAAAGTTTAGTTATTCAGCGAATCAACAAACTTGTGATTATTATTTATATCTATATTGTGCCCCCATAGTCCTTGATGTATATAGTGGATATCACACGGTTTGTGCCATCACCATTATGTTCAATCCCTAGTATTTTGTTTCGTGAATATATTGATAAATGGAAACTGGCATCCATATATCTATCAATTGAGCATGCATGTGTTTCTTCAATATCATTAAATCAAGGGATCCAAAGAAATCACAGATATATCTTATCTTGATACATAATAGTTTTACTATGCAATAAATAAAATATCTAACCATCAATCTATCATCCAGTTATGGAATGATTAGAACTAGTGTCAAGGTACACCACTCACACTCCAACAAAGTATATGTTCTAAGGTCAAATGATTTCATGTATAATGGCTACATGAGATACACTTATATCTCTCATATGACATATATATATATATATATATTGCAATGTTCTCATTGTGAGTTACATCGAGTGTATAAGATCCCTATTTTGTGTGTATATGTTCTCATGAGAAGGGTGGTTATTTGTTATAGATATTCATGAAACCATGATATTTTTACGTAATATATAAGCATATATCTCAAAGAACATAATATTCTACTTATTTTAATGTTTTACATAATGGTCATACTTTTTAACGGTGATAATGATAATAATTTGTTCTAATATGATGTCTTTGAAATATTGCACCAACATACCCAATAAATATTTCATTTCGTACACACATCAGGTTCCATGCTTCTAAAGACGTAACATTACACAAAAAAAACATCAAGTACAAACATCTAATAGAAGTTCTCCTTTCAAACTTGACTATTGTATGCCAAAATGGAATTTTGACACATGTTCACAAGCATAACATTGTGGATAAGGGCTAGTGCTCAAACTCATGATGCCTAAGCTCTCAATCTCTACTCATAATTTATTTTATCGATGCATATTCACTTTGCACAACACAACTTCATCGACATTTAGTTTAGATGTCAAGTTTTAGCAGTCATAAATCGGTCATGGTAATCTTTGATGTGTTTTACCAACTCATCAAGAGGCGGCATACACTCTCTGATAACATGAACATCAAGAACATCTTTAAAATAGGCATTCAACAATGGCGTATGCTCCTCATCCATAAGTTTAACATCTTTGATTTTTTTGATTAGTGGAATCCATATTCCGAGCCATGCAACTGCAATATCCATAAATCCTAAACTTTCGCCTCCATAGAAGGGTTTGTTTGTGTTCAAAGTACCCTCAAGAGTCTCCAGAATCTCGTGAGCCTCTTCTGCAACCTTATTTTTTTGGTCTAGTGTACTCAATAACATCTTAATGATCAATGGCACACACTGCAAGAAAAAATTTACTAAGATGTATTGAACATATTGAAACCCGTTTTTTTCAAAGGTAGGGTGGTAAAACAAGAATGCACGAATGTACAAGAAAACAAAAAGCTATATTTTCTTCAAGAAGCAGAAAACAAGTCAAGAGATGTAAAACACATAGAGAAACATGAAAGAAGAGTAAAGTGAATACTAAAACGTACACAACGAAAATAAAACACGACCAACCGATCGACAATGAAACTAACCAAAGCTAACGTCCAGTCACACTAAAAAGAACAAAGCTACAGTTGGTCACCAAAACTTGCCTGTTGTACCAATCAGTCCAAGACTTATTTCGGTTAATATTTTTACTATACATGAAATACGTATATGCGTCGTTCCCTGCAAAGTAATGTGAAGCTATTCTTTTTATGTTATACTTAATGTGCATCGTAACAATAATAAAGTTATAATATATCAAAATGACTGTTCTAAAAGGCTCACCGCAACACCCGTGAGACACATCATGGCTCAATACTTGTGTCTCATACCACATTAAGCATGTAGTACGCCATGGTATAATGTATGGTTTTTGTAACATGATATTTGATTTTACTTGCCTTTTCAATATTTTACTTATTAGTTTTTAACATATAACTTAATTTAAATTGTTCTTATCATTTATTCATTGAGTAATAGTAGAAAACATATGTTCATTTACTTGCCGTCATAAATCTTGCCTCGAAAAACGCCTTGACCTCGTTGTGACTTCTAAGGCTTGAGGATTGGCCTCACCGCCACACCTCACACTATCTAGAACCTTGTTTAAAATGCAACCAAATTTATTAGTTCCTATAGTGCACAGATTTTTTCCTCGGATCAATATACCGTTTCATAATTTACTATATTGTACCCGTTTTGACCAATAACATGTGGAGCTTGTAACATTGGCCTTAATACCCAGTTTTCGATTGATATGATTTTTACATGCGACCTTCTGATCCAACATTATTATTTTTTAAGTCAATATAACTTGACAATTCGTTATTCACGTCATCAATGTTACAAGATTAGTATGTTACCACGAAATAACAAAATTTGGATTGAAAAGATCATGATATATACTAAATAAAAATTGAAATGCAACGAAGTTTATCTTAGTTTCTATCTAGTATAGAAAAAACATTTCTCAATCATTATTACAACATGTTAAAATTTCCTATTTAATGTAACAAATTTTCTATTTAATATAACAAAGTTTCAAAATTTTCTACGTACTTTTAGGGTGAATATAATAATCTTGTAACATGATTTAGTAACGTATATGTCATGTTTATCGTTAATTCGATATAACCTTTCATAAAAGGCTATTTACGTCATCAAATGTTATAATATCAGCAACATACTTGGTTAAAACAAATACCAAATTAAAATTTTATTCCATTGATCAAGAAAAGTAAAATCGAATAAAAATTAAATTAGAGGCCTACATTGTAATGACACATGAACACATAACTTATATTGGTTATAAAGATACCTTGATTATATTAAACTAAATGCTAAATTTATTTTGAATTAACCATGATATTCAACATTTAACGAAGTCCACCAGATTGACTCCATCACCATAGGAAATAGACAGTATGGCATCAAAAACACAAACTACTAAAAGAGGGATCATTGTTTAGTACATTGTTTATTTCACTACAACAAAATCGGGTTTATAGGACACTTTCAAATTCTAAGTGTCCTAATAAACCTCTTTATAGGACCAAAAAAAATAAAGTGTCATATCTAAAGGTGTTGTAATAAGTTTATATGACGTTTTTTAGCGTCTTAACAAGTTTTTTAAGACATTTTTAATACAAAGTATCCTATAAACTCATTTTTTTATAAGACACTTGTTTTTATAAGACAATTTTTCAAATTGGTCCTATAAAGAGGTCTATTAGGACACTTAGAATTTGAGAGTGTCCTATATAAACCCAATTTTGTTGTTGTATGTTAATCAAAAATACGAAATTAAACCAAAAATGTTTACAAAAATAAACTTAGCATGTATCTGGTTTACCTTATCATCGACAAATTTTGCCCAAAAACGAGATACCGCCTTCTCAAAAGGATCTTCAGGAAGAAGTGGATGATTCTTCCATGTTTCATCGATGTACTCAAGTATCACAAGCGACTCCACGATCGGTTTACCATTGTGCACAAGAACGGGAACCTTTTTGTACAAAGGATTGTATTGCAAAAGCATCGAACTTTTATTCGAGATATCTTGTTCAACGTATTCATACTCGATCCCTTTTAAGCTGAGTGCTCATTTCACACGAAGTGTATAAGGGCTTCCCCAAAATCCTAATAGCTTCACTTCGTCTCCTGCCATCAATTTGAACACATTTCTGGTTCGATCTGTGTTGGCTTGTCAACATTCTATCTTATTTATGTATATATATATATATATATATACAATTTTAAACATTATCATCAATGGTGAAAAGTCGTTTACACATTTGATCCCTTTCTTTTTCAATCATTTAACTTCCTTCCCAATCCTATAAATTAAACAATAGTTTATTTAGAAAAACACCAACTTCAATAAATAACTAAAAGTTGATTGTGATGTGTTCAATGAATATGGGCAATAAATAGATCTAAAAACTAAGAACCCATTAATGACTTGTGCATTATACAACTAAAGTTGTATACTGTTTTCTACTCTCTTTGTCCCTATATTAAAAACGCAACCAATCCAACCACTACGTCGATCTTTTAATGAAATGCACCTCCTTTACTTGTACAACTTTTGATCCGTTTAATCTGTGTTTAAAAGTTGTATTTAAGTGTTTCTCCGTTTGTAAATTTAGTCTTTAATGCTTTGTAGGTATAAATAGTTTTTCCTTGTAATTTTGTAGTAAGTTGAAATCATTTGTAGTCTTCAAAGAATTTGAATACAAAATCATTTGGTGAAAATTCTCTCTAAATTCATATTCTGTTCTTGATTGATTTTAATCTGATTTGAAGATTTAGGATTCTCATCCATGACATAGGAGTAATTATATAACAATATTTTGGAGGGTTTTGTTGATCAGAAATTGGTTGTAATTAGGGTGGTATTGCCAAATATAACAATAAACGATATATGTCTAAGGTCCTTGACAAAAGTAGAAATCCAAGTACAAGATCAACCCAAACAATAAATGCAGATAACAAGATCTAAAATGTTGCAACGTGATGTTAAAAATCGACATCAAGATTTAAGGTGATTCCATTATCCATATGATAGTGTACATCTACAGATATATATTATCAACCGAGAGAGAATACAATTGTGTAACAAAGATCTTTGGATATGAAATTAGCAGTTTTCAAAAACATCTAACAAAGCCTCTAGTGTAATTTGTAACTAATACTATCATTTGTAACTACAAGATATAAACTAAGAGGTGAAAAGTGTTGGAGTGTGTTTGGGAAGAGAAAAGCTTCAAAGGAGGAGAAGGAAGCGTCTTGCTTTGCTTGGTAAAATAGGAGGCCAAAGTGCCTTTTTTATAACCAAAGCAACACTAAAATATCTAGACATTTTTCTAGATCCAAAAGTGGTGCTGCAACATACGAGAGACACACCAATAATACGTCAAAATTGGATTTCTATGAGGTTATCAATTTCCAAGCATCTGAATAGACTGCATTATAAGCAGTGTTCAAAAGGCGTATCATGGCGTGATATGACATGTTTCCGTCATTAGTAAATGATCAATAGCGTTTCTGTGAAGCATGAGACGCCCTGTGACATGCGTTTTTTATAAGACGTGATTTTTTTTCGATTTTTTTGTTTTTTAATCTTTTGTGTTTTTTCATTTTTAATTTTAGATTTACACTTTTAGGTAGTGTTTGGTATGCAAACATGATTGGACAGACTAAACATAACATAATTTGATCAGACAGGACGGGACTGGACTAGACTGGACAGAACAAGTGTATGCCTGGTGTTTAGTACAACTAGGACTGGACGAGACAGAACTAGATAAGTTACCCCAAAAATCTATTTGATGATTTTAAATATTGTATAATAGTTATAATTTTTACAAATAAAGTAATTAATTAAAGAATTTAATTTACAAATATTTTTACACAATTTTTATATAAATGAATACATACATATATAATGGTACCAAATTTGAATGAAAATTTTGATATAATTGATGGTAGTAGTAGCGGTGGTGGAGGTAGTAGTGGTGGTGAAGGTGGTTTTGGTTATGGTGGAGGAGGTGGTGGTGGTGGTGGCCGACGGTAGTAGTGGCCATGAGCGGTGGTGGTTGGTGGCCGATGGTGGTTATAGAGGTAGAGGTAGTGGTGGTTGGTGGACGACGATGGTTATAAAGGACGTGAAGATGGTGGATTGTGGTGGCAGTAGACAACGGTAGAGGAGGTACTTATGGCTGATGTAGTGAAGATAGTGGTGGTGGTGGTGGTGGTTATGGTGGAGGTGAAGTGGCAATAGACGCTGGCGGTTGATGGTGGACGGTGGTTGTGGAGGTCGTAAAGGAGGTTGTTGCAGTAGAGGAGTTGCAGGTGGCCAATGGTGGTAGTGGCGATGGCAATGGATGGTGGTGGTTGATGGGAGACGGTGGTTGTAGAGGTGGCAATGGACAGTGGTGGTCGGTGGTCGACGGTGGTTGTGGAGGTCATGAAGAGGAGTTGGAGGTGGCCAACGGTGGTAGTGTTGGTGGTAATGGGTGGTGGTGGTTGGTGGCCGATGGTAGTTGTAAACGTGGCAATCGACGATGGTAGTTGGTGGTTGTGGAGGTGGTGAATGAGGTTGTTGTAGTAGATGAGGAGTTGAAGATGGCGAACGACGGTATTGGTGGTGGCAATGGACGATAGTGGTTGGTGGTCGACTATGGTAGAGATGGCGATGGACGATGGTGGACGATGATTGTCGAGGCAATAGAGGATGTTGTTGTAGTAGAAAATGAGGTGGAGGTGACCGCCAATGGTGGTAGTGACCGAAACTAGCGTTGATGACCAATAAAATAAGGGAAAATAATCAAAGTAGTCACTTCATATGTATTGTATTACAAAATAGCCACTTTTCAGATTTTTTTCACAAAATAGCCAATATGATCACCACCGGGGGGCCTGTTGACCATATGGAGGCGATTTGACCAAAAAATTACACAAGGGTCGATGAACTTAGCCTTTCCATTACCCTTCTGGTTTCCAACAGTTGATGAATTTCACAAGTATCAACCATGTTCGATCAGATCAATCCTAACAAACCGACACATGGAGGACACTGATTGGACACGCCACCTAGAGACAGTTGGACGTGACTCATCGCCAGCAGATTTTTGTTGTTCTAGGTAGCTAGAGATAATCATCATCTCCTGGATAGATACCTATTCCATGTTTTTCTCATAGATATCTTATCTTAGATTGTTATTTCTTATACTAGATTGCTAGTATAAATAGCTTTCATATGTCTTGTAATCAGGTCGAGCTTCTCGTAATAATCATAAAGAATTACTTGTGATAAGCTTCATACGTTCTTGAACATTATTCAAGTTGTTCATACTTTTCTTCACTCAAAAGATAGATTTAGATCTTTTTGCTTAAATCTTATTGTTAATTGAGAGATCAACGATCAACATTTTGTATCAGAGCAAATTGATTGATTTTACAATCAAAACGATCAATTTGAATATGAGCATTCAAAATTCTCTCAATTTCTTATGGGTTTATCTTACTAATCTTCATACACAAGTTCTTCTAAATTTTCTACAAATTTATCATCAATGGCCAATTGGATTTCTGCTTACAACGTTGGAATCTCACAAAATCGCCAACTCTTCAACGTGAGGAATATCCCCAATGGAAGATCCGAACGATAAACTTTTTCGAGGGGATGGACATGAACCTATACAGATCTGTCATCAATGTCCCGTACACACCTCAGACTCTAATTCCTAGAGTTCCTGCAACAGCCACTACCGATGAAATTCCAACATAAGGATGAGAAGTCCTAAAAATGCTGAAGATATAGAAAAAGTAGAAGTAGACCGGACTGCCTGTGGCAAATGCTCATCATGGCAATCCCATATGAGATTTTTCAATTTTTGGACGCATGTAGGACGACGAAGGAAATCTGGGATGAGTTGGCAAGCCAACTAGAAGGAGGGGCCAAGACCAAGAAAAATAGAAGGCCCAGTGTCTGAATGAATATACGAATTTCAAGGCACTTCCAAAAGAACCTATCCAGAAAATGTATGACCGGTTTAATATGTTAATTAATCAATGTCGTAGAAATGACATCGCGAGAAAGAAGGAAGAAAACGATGTTCTATTTCTCAAAAGTTTCAGTGATGAATGGACATAATTGTCCATGTCTCTACAAACAAACCAAGATCTGGATAGCTAGTCACTTCATGGCGTATATGGAACTCTTGCTGCTCAAGAGCATGATATAATGAAGAAGAAGGTATCCATTAGAGGACCTCTGGCCCTAGTCTCTGATGAAAAGAGACTTCTAGAGGCTCTTCAAAGGAATATCACAAGAATAAAGGTAAGAAGGCCTTAAAAATAGAATCAGAGTCTGAAGAAGATAGCTCAAATTCAGACATGATCTCAAAACCTTTGCTAATCCATTGATCTTATAAGTAAACAGTTCCAGAAGAAATTTGTCAAGAGGCCCTATGAAAAAGACAGCAGAAGAGAATTCAAAAAGAAGAGATTTCAGCCCAATCATGAGTAGAAGACAATAAAGTTTCATCAAAAGGGGTGAAAGAAAAGAAGACAGAAGAGAGAAAGCTAGAGAAGATAGAAGGGAAGAAAGAAGAGAAGGAAAAGATGGAAGAAAAGATGGTTTAAGATTATACCAGTGCAGGAAAATTGGCCATTTTTCCAGAGATTGTAGAGCAAGATTGGTGAAAGATGCAGACTACTACAAGAATAAATATAAGTAAAATCCCGAAAAAAAGGAGTCTCGTGGTAGAAAAAGAAAATTGGGTATCTGGCCAAGTCCTCAGATGCTGAAAAATCTACGTTTGAAGCATCCATCTTCTACTCCAATGACCAGGTATACAATTCTTCTTGCGATATACCCAACTCTGCTCCATCAGAGCTAGAGTTAAGTGTTTTAAAACTTTTAGAAGATTTTCAAAAACTAAAAGAAAATTTAATTTTTGAAAAGATTGAAAGAATTAAAGCGGAGAAAGTAGCTAGTTTCTACAAAAGAGAAACTAATCTTCTTACCGAAGAAAAAATTGAAACTGAAAGAGAGAAAGTGAGAATTGAATCTCTCAAGAGGTCTGAAGAAGAAAAACTTTTAGATATGAACAGGAAAGTTACCAAGGACCTAGAAAGAAAGGTGAAGGAATTAAAAATGTTCTGAGGCTGAAAGACTTAACTCTATGGCTCTAAAAGATTTCTTTCAAAAGAAAAGAGAGATTCTTCATCAGAAACTTCAATCCAATGAACTTCTGATAAAGAAATACAAGGACGCTCAAAATGTGTATGAAAAACTAAATAGTCAGACGGACACCCAATGTCTAGGGTTCAAGAAAACCACTCTTGAATCAACTTTTAATCTAGGATGTGTTCAAAAACCTGACTTTGTTCCAAAACCAACCCCATCTATCAAAATAGCCAAAATAAGTGGGAAATCCACATTTTCAAGACAAGAGTTTAAGAATGTGGTTTATGGATATAACACTAGTAAGGATTCTGATGTAACATAGCCTTCTATGATAAATGGAAGTTCCTCTGGAAAAACAAATAGATGAAATAAAAACTCTTTCAAACCAACCAGAGACCGATGAAAACTCTTTCAAAAAAAGAAATAATCTGTGAAAAAAAAATAATCGGTGAAAAACCAGAAATCGTTGAGGATAAGAAAGAACAAATTCTAAGAATCCCAATGAATCCTGATTTCATAGAAATGTGTATAAGAGCTAAAACTTCTTTAGAATTAGAAAAGGAATAAAAGAGTAAGGTCAAAACAGCCAAGGAAACTCCAAAAGCCAAACCTCGTCTTTCTAGATACAACATATACATACTTTTTCGAGTTGCTCTTTTATTGCACTACAAAAGATACCAAATGAATTCGTGGGTGTTATGCTCCATCTCTATTGGCATCACCTAATAACCAACTTAGCAAGTCGAAAAATGCTAGAATCATCATTACAATTTGCCATTATGTAACATCAATGGTCACAGAATAACTTTGGTGCCCCTTGGAATCTAAAACGTGTTCTTGGTAGTAAATTTGTGAATGATGAACAAAATTTCCTTCCATGCCCCTTTAAATGCAAATCTAGAAAAATGGTGCAATTTTCTCTTTTTTTAAACCAAAGAAAACTACAAACCGTCCAAATTCAAAAAAATGGTGCAACTTGCTTTGATTCGACTATTTTGGTCTTGTAAAACTATTTTGCATTTTCGGTCTCTCATTTGACTGATTTATACCATTTTTGTCACTCTTTAATTTCATTATTGTTGATTAACATATGATAGAAAGAGTAAAATTGGTAAATTGCACCAAGTATGGATTATTTATACATCAAGATTCTTCTTTTTTTTTACATAAAATGAAAAGAAAAAGATCACAATCAAAATCAGAATCAAAACATCATCATCGTGTTTTTATGCTATTTTTCTCATAATTAAATAAATAGACGTTAAAAACATCACAAATAAGTTAAATATGATATGACGACTTTAACCTTCTTCCAACAGAAAATAACCGAGGAACACAAATGATACGAAAAGTAATTTGAGAAACCAAAATGCAAAAAAGTTTTTAAAAACACCAAGATTGTGGATTAATCATAAATCAAAGGACCAAAAATGTAATTCACTCAATTTAAATTTTTTGAAACGAATGTTTTTAACGGTTAGATAACGACATGCATCGCTAGGTGTCATAATACATACGAAAACTTTAGGCCACAGCTATGCTCTCTCTCACACAGATCAAACGGTCAAAATTCAGGCTAAAATCAAAACCCTTCGGAATCTTCATCCATTTCAAATAGGATCCAATCAAAGGAATTGTAAGAAGAGCTTCTGGAAATCGCAATTCGGCAATTTCTAGGTTTGTTTCGTTTTCGATCACATAATCGGCGATGAATCCGAATCAATCAGCCAATCCAACACAACAGCCGGTCAAGCCCGACGGTTCGAACTCCGCCAACTACGCTCCAAACCCTAATGTAGATCGGAACGATCGCGTTCCTCCTTCGTATCCGGCTTCCGGTGAGAATTGGACATCCGTGACCGTCCCTCCTCAAAAGCTACCAGCTGTGCCGCCTGCTGTCGGGCAACCGTCGCAGAGCGCCGCTTCAACGACATCGCAAGGTCCAAGCCCTATTTCTCGAGGTGGCGCCACCACTGGGCCTGCCGCGTCCAATCCTTACGTGTCGTCTGGTCCCGTGGGGGATTCTTCCACCAAGAGTGAGTTTGCATCTGAATTCGATGTGTTTTATTTGTAATTTTACTTATTGAGAGGATTGTTGGAATACAGGAGTCCACATCGTTCGTGATGCCGTAGAGTTTACAGATGTTGTGTTTGATTATGTGTTTTGTGATTATTATATTTTTATTCTGTTGTGATATATAGATGGTTGCGTATCTGTTGTTCTTGGGCAGATACAATGGATACGGTGAAGGTTATGTTTGCGAGATGGGCAAAGAAGGCTGCTGAGGCAACAAAGAAGGGGCAAGATTATGCTGGAGATGTGTGGCAACACTGTAAGTTCCCCTTCTTACTTTTGATTATGCTAGATAAGTGGCATCATTATATTAATCAATGGCCATGAGAGGATATATTCTATTGGGAGGCCATTTGATGATACGGATAAAGAGCAATGCCTGAATAAAATTCCTGCATAATTTGTGTGTTTGCCTAATTACAAATTTACCTCAACAGAACCCCATTATGCAAATTAAAAATCCTTGATTTTGATCCATTTTGTAGTCAAGACTTCAAAGTGGTGAATGCCATAATATATTTATATTTTATTCAACCAATATAAACATAGGAAAATATTATAAAACCAACTTTCTACTAATTGTGTAATGAATATATTCATATAATTAACTAAAAGATATTACAAACTGAAACATTTATCTGTCAGTTCCTCAGATCATGACTACTAACTTCAGCAAGCAACAACACAAAAGGTATGTGAGCTATATAACCCAGATAAAACTCACAACTTAGAATCAAAAGTTGTTCAACATGAAGAAATATAATTTTTACAAGTCCAACACGAGACTCCTTCTATAAACTCTTTAGATGTAAAATAAAACCAAGTACATGTTACAAAACCGCCATTTGAAAATACTTCAATCTTTGTTATTATCATAGGTTTGATTTGAGTCCACAACTGTGCAATTTGAAAATTTGAACATAGCAAAGCAATGACTTTGTTATCACCAACGCTCTATAAAACTCCGTTGAGGGCCGGTTAACTGGCCATTTGATGAGGATGATGATCATGTTGAAAATTGTCTATTTTGCCCTTTAATTTGGCAAGCATCTTAACATTTTAGGTCAAGAGATTAATGGTATAAAATTATATTGGCCTAAATGTGCGAAAATAAAATAGTCGTTGGACTGAACCTCTACAAGTGAGTAAATAGTCCAGGGATGATTTTTAAAATTTACTCAAAATCTTTAAAATCAAGCTCAATACTAACAAATGTTTACCGCATTCTCCTTAAATAACCTATTCTCTCCCTTTACTCCTGATTGTTTATTTAAATGTTGTATATAATGTTAAATGAACATTCACATTCAGATGGAGCATTATCCTGTCACTAAAATGATAAGAATTGTCCATCCTTTTACAAATTAAGGGACCATTTACCAAACATTTGGGTGAGCATAGGAAGGAGCGAGAATATTATCCGGTAAGAGGCAAGGCAGGGATTGAGAGCTTATTCGGTAAGTGAGGATGGTGACTCTTATTGGGTAAGTGCTGACCAAGTGACAGACGCTTACGAACAATCCATTTTGATAAGGTCAGTGAGGGTGGTAACTCTTACATGTAAGTGTTTAGTGAATATGGCCCCTTATATCTATGTCCAAGTGCTTAATAATTCTAAGCTATGTCAAATTGGCACAAAACGAACAAGATTCGTAGGCTGATCTTTTTGGACTCTAACCCAATATATTGAGATCCTGTTTTCTCTCATTCATGGTATATTTCTTTGATGTTGACAAAAGCATGATTATCTAGTAGGTAATTTAGGTAGTATTAAAGGGGTTGAGTAAAGTAGTAAAGCCCAGATGATTATATTGGGGTTTGCTGTCTACACTTTTATCTATAATTAATTCATAGATTCCTCATGTGACTCTTTCATTTGTCCTCTAATTAGACATGCTAATCTCTACTTTGAACCAGTGAAAACGGGTCCCAGTATTACTGATGCTGCTGTTGGAAGAATTGCTCAGGGAACCAAAGTTCTTGCAGAAGGTGGATATGAGAAAATATTTAGAACAACATTTGAAACAATTCCAGAGGAGCGACTTTTGAAGTCGTTTGCATGCTACCTATCAACTTCTGCTGGCCCTGTTATGGGAGTATTATACTTGTCAAATTCAAAACTCGCATTTTGCAGTGACAATCCGCTTGCATATAAAGTTGGTGAAGAGAAGAAATGGAGCTATTACAAGGTGAATCATGTTTTTTGTTTTTGTTATCCTTAATTTCATACAAGATATTTGCTTAGCTTGTGTTCTATAATTGATTGAAATACTTGTGTTCTATATTGTTTGCTGACCAATATTTTACAAATGATCCTATTTTCCAACCAAAAGCTCAAAAGGGCAAACTAATTAGTTCATTTGTTCTTGGCAAGAAAATAGGATCGATGGGCAAAAAAGTAAATTTACACGATAATCTTTTATCTCATCCTTTTTATCTTATATGTGCATTACTATATAAATATTTCATAGATTGTTGGGAAATTCTACTCTTCATGTATTATAAATTTTACAAGTTACAATTATCAATATGTCATGGTTACATTACATGAGTTGATTTCCTTGCTTCAAGTTTTACAAATTTCCTTATTTCGTTCTTTTTTTGGTAACCATGTGTGTTCGGGCAACTTGCTATGAAACCTCTGACTAATCTCATGGGGACCTAAAGTTACCCTCACGTAGCCCTGAGGGGACTTGAACCGCTGACATACTGGGTGTTGTTTTAAACTGTTGATAAATAGTCGAAAATTGTATCTAAAACAACAATTATCTTATGACATAGGTGGTTATTCCATTACTTCAACTCAAATCAGTCAATCCTTCACGAAGCAAAACAAATCCTGCTGAAAAGTACATCCAACTCATATCGGTTGATAATCATGAGTTCTGGTTCATGGGTTTTGTGTATTACGACAGTGCTGTGAAAAATCTTCAAGGCGTTCTTCAGCCGCACCAAAATCCACTCCTCCTTGCTGGTCCAAATTGTTGAAGCATCTTTATCCCGAGTTGGTATGTACTACATTCATTTGAACGTTATAGATTTCCATAAACATTTAGATCAAATTCATTTTGCTCATTGAGCATTTTCATTTCACTTCTATTCGGAAAAACTCTTATTAGTATACGCCTGTATACACCGTACGCTTACTCGACCCCACTTCCAAATGTGATATAGCGGGTCATGTAGGAGAATAAAGATATGACCTATAGCCATAGCACATACACAACTTTTCTTTAATTTAGCCGTTGGTATGATGTTACTAATTGTGGATGGTAAAGGAGAATAAGGCCTTCTGTTACAAGTACTGTTTAAGTTTGTAGTGTTTAAATATTTGATTAATACTTGGATAATATTGTATTGTAGTTAAAAGAATATGAAATGAAGTATGTGATGCATGCATGCCATGGAATTTGTAGTTAAAAGAATATGAAATATGAGACCACCAAAATGGATAGAGTTGTTGAAGGCTATATGATTGTGAAACACACCATCATCTTGGTAATGGAAACGATGTTGTCTAAGTAGAAAGGAAAGAGCAGTTGAGTTGATATAGATTCGTGCCATGAGATAGATTTCAAAAAATAAAATAAAGGAGGTGCTCGTTTTTGACAATTTATGGGCTCTGGATGTTTGTAAAAAATAGGGTAGCTTACGGAAAGATCTTAAGCAAATATTTTTTATTATAAAAAATAAAATTGAATACAATAAATTCTAATAATTTATATAAAACAATTTTTAAGTATCTATAAACACAAAATCATCAGTAATAATATCAAATAAATACTAAGTTCTTGCCAACAAATCATAAGTATTGAGCGTTAAAACAAACAAACAGTTTTTAAACACTTGATTGTAAACAAAATTTTCTCATTAGATTGCTCCCATCACCTGAACATACTAAAAAAAAGAGTAAATTACATTTTTATTTCATATGCTTAGGGCCGTAAACAAACCGAACGTTCAACGAACAATTCGTGAACCGTTCGGCGGGAAGTTCGTTTATTTAATAAATGAACAAACATAAACAAATTTTTTTATACGTTTAATTAAATGAACGAACATGAACAAGAATCTGGTTCGTTCATTTATGTTCGTTCACGTTCGTTTATTTATGTTCGTTTATGTTCGTTTATATATTAAATTTAATATATAATCTTTTATTTATCATTCACTATCAACTCGAATCCCTATTTTGTACTAATTACAATTTTGGTCGTTATGATTGTCAAAATGTTTCACTTTCAGTCTCTCATATTAACTTCTGCTAAAAAAAGTCAATACCATAGGGACCTTTTGGTCCTTTTGGTCAATTAAAAAGATTATAGTAAATTACATATTTGGTCCCAATGATATGCTGGTTTTTACGAAATTGGTTTTAGACTTGCGTACTCAAATGATGTATAAGTTTATGGTTAGGAAAAATTTGTCGGGATGTGTTGGTCTGGGAAAATGCTGACTTACACAGGAAGTGTTTGTAGAGAGCGATGATTGAATACAAACACAACAAATTTTCAATTTTGAACCCTTCCTCCTATAATTTGAATAAAAACAAAGAATCATAGATTTGTTGGGGAAGTTAGGAATGTAAGACCTACGATCCTAAACTATCTGACTCGGACAAATTTACTAAATTCACTTTAGTGACCAACACAAATATTTCTTAGTTGACAATAATTTTATCAGATAAAGGGATAACAGAAGAGGATAGATAATATTTGTTTTTAAGAGTAATGAAAATTTTGTGCAACTTAGAAATTTCATCATTTCACCTTTTGTTTTACAAAAATAAAAGTAGAAATTCAATTCTTCAGATTTAAGAAAATGGGGATCATATATGTGATATGGGCCTACCCAATCTTTTAAATAGAAGAAATTAGATTTTTGAAAACAAGGAGATTCGGATAGGGAGTCATTATTATTGTTGTGGAAGCCATTTCAGATCTTATTTATGAAAGTAAACAAATCGTTCACATACCATTTGTTGGTCCTCGAAAGTGATATCTTACACAATGAAGTGTTTGTAGATGGGGGATTGAATACAAATACAACTAATTTTCACTTTTTAATTATTTCTTCAATATTTTGTATAAAAACAAATAATTACAAATTTGTTGTAGAATTACAGATTCTGATAGGGAGTCATTATTATTGGTTGTGGAAGTCATTTCAGATCTTGTTTATAAGAGTAAACAAAACCACTCAGATTCCATTTGTTGGTCCTCGAAAGTGATATCTTACACATGAAGTGTTTGTAGATGGGGTATTGAATACAAACACAACTATTTTCACTATTTAATTATTTTTTCTATATTTTGTATAAAAACAAAGAATTACAAAAAAAAAAAAAAAATCAGAAGTTAGGAAGATAAGACATGTGATCCTGAATAATCTGACTATGACAAATTTGATAAAGTCAAATAAAGGGGGGAAGGAGGTTGTCTCTCAAATCCGAAAAACCCTTAGTTCTTCATAGGATAACGTCAATTTTACTTCAAAAACACTCACAAGGATGCTCTTTAAAAAATGTGAGTTAACAAAGTGCCTACACCAGCCTTGGCATTCAATGCAACTCACATTTTTTAAAGAGCAAGATAGTTACTTTGTTAACTTACTCCGTCTTTTTGTATGCCGATGGAACATTAAAGCAAGTAAAGTACCGATACAATGATGCAAGATAGTTGATGAGCCAAACTTGCTGGCCAAATTTGTACTACAAGATTCGATTTGCAAGTAGTATTTGTCACTAATTTGTCACTAATTAGCGAGGGATCAGCCTATTTTTCTTATTTTCTTATTTGTATGTGTTATATATTAAGGAGAGGTGTACCTTGGGTAAGGGTGACATTTGTGAGATCTTGTTATGTTATAGCTCTTGTTGTCATATCCATGAGATGTGATATTTCCGAGTCAACATTTCTTTGTGACATTAGAACTTGAAAATATTGCTCTTATTGAAATGATAGCAACGATGTTATTGAGAAGGAGAAAATGGCTTATAGCTTGAGGCATTAATTGTCCGCGTTTCAAATGATTTTGAGATATCATATATCCTATTTTGGTTATTCAAAAGAGTAGAGATTTGAAATAAAACCCGGAGGGTCTTTGGTTATTATTTAATTAAGTTTTCATTTGAGTTTAAAATTGTTCTTATCGTAAAAGCTCTTGATGATAACCAAGAACTCTAGTGATTAATATTTCTTGGTATGATTTGGAGGTTGAGACTGTAAGCTCTAGTTTTATGAGACTTGAGAGCTTTAAGAGTTGTGTTCCAGATGTCTGTGAGAACCTGAGTGATACATTATCCTTTGCAGTAAGATTACATAAATAAATTCCTAAAAAAGGCTAGATTCGCCACTTATCAAGTTGCGACCGAACAAAGGAAGATAGACCCATTTAAGGATGGTCTAAAGATAAAAGGTAAAACAATATGTGGACATGACGAAGCCGACCACATTTGCTCAGACAATGGAGATGGCAATAGTAGCCGAAGAGAATAAAGTGAAAGCAGCTGGAGAAATGAGAGACTTCAAGAGAAAATGGGAAGGATCGAGCAAGGTGGTAAGGAAAGTTGGAGGAATGCAAACTTCAATTAGAATCCAGCATAAGGGATTTTCCATCCATACATGTAAGAAGTGCATTAGGAAGCATAGAGGAGAGTGTAAAGCGGGAAGTGTGACTTGATATCGTTGTGGGAAGCCCGAAGCCGGATCATACCATGTTGGAGTGTCCTGAGAAAAAGACATGCTATGAATTTCTTAAAATCTTTTTGTTTTAAAAGAAATAGAAAATGAAACGTTTTATGATGACATTTTTATTTTAACGATACGATTTTTTTAGACGCGCGTACCGTTCTAACACACGCGACCTCTCAAAGTTTCATCTAATCGTGGATGAGAACGTGCTACTTTTTCATCATTGCACAACTTTCAAAGTATTATTTTCCTCTCTCCTCCTACCTATAAATATGAGACTTCTCCTCTCATTTTTATCTTACGCTCTCAAATACTTTTGTCGAATCTGTACCTCAAAGATATTTACAAGCAAGAACTTAAGAACGCTCAAACCCTTCAACCTTTTCTTTTAAGTCTCAAAGGTTGAAATATTTTCTTTCTTATTTGATCTGTTCTTCTTCTTCTAAGAAAATGTTGTTTGGTTACTTAAGAACTTGTTCTATTAAACTACCAACATAAAGATTATTAACGCATTCTCCTACTTGGTTATAATCTAAGGTTTCAATACACTTATTCTTCTTGAAAAACCCTAATCTTTTCTTTGTGGATTTTTCAAAAGAAGTTTTATTATTTCAAAACTTAATAACTCACATCCTTATCTTGGATTACTAACAAATCCGTTATTTCTTATTTCTTACTTATAACAGAAAATGTCTGTCAAGAACGTGAACTTTTCAATTGACGACGTGTCCTTCAAGCCAAACAATCTGTGGCTTTGTTGGACATCCTGGTTAACAAGTCCTATTATGAGGAAGCTGCTACTTTCATCAGGAACTCCCCTATCTCCTACGCTCTCATCAATGAACCTATCATGGTGAAGGAAGTCCTTCAGCAATTCTGTCTACCTACTGAAGTTGTTCAAGACACTGACAAGACTAGTCAACAGGTGGAGAAAATCTCCTTCAACTTCAACAGAATGACTGTTAGTTTTGGCATTACAACACTAAGGCACGCCCTCCGATTCCCAAAGGGTCCCTACGTCAATGATCATTCCACTGATATCATCCTTTCTTTCCTGGATGATATTGGCTACGCCTGGCCAATGAAGGACTTTAGCGACCTCCTCAAGTCGCTTTTGAAGATTGAGAAGAATCGCATGTTTGCGGTTTGGTAGTACTTGTTTTCCCATTTCATCCAATGTATGGGAGGCAAGACTGGTGGCCAAGATCAAGCCTCCAGAGTTGCGTTGAACATTTGCGTATCCGACATTCGCCAGCGCCCAATTAACTATGCTGTGATATTTGAAGATCTGGTGTTGAAACTGAACAAGCGCCAGAGGGAGAAGGTAATACCCTACACCAGGTTCCTATCCATGGTGTTTGCCAAGATCTTTAGCAACAAGTACTTACTGAAGAAAACCTGCTCATCTGCAAGCTTGGATCCAGAATCTTGGATCATAAGCCGAGAAATGAAGACATTGCACTCTCTGCAATTGTGCCTGCTTTCTCTTCATCTTCTCTAACTGGGACTGTATTTCCTTCTTCCCTTGCTTCGGTGGTCAAGACTACGGAAAACCCCCTGAAGTCTACCCCAACCACCACCTCCCTTTCTTCCAAATAAACCCCTTTCAAACCACTCTTGGTTCTCTATCGAGGGCCAAGAAAGCCAAAAAGGGGA